GAAGGAAGGAGAGGAGGGAGAGAAAGAGGGAAGGAGAGTAAGAAGGAAAGAAAGAAGGGTAGAGAAGGAGGGAAAGAAGAAGGGAAGGAGAGAAGGAAATAAAAAAGTGAAAGAGGGAAGGGAGAGAAAAAGGGAGGAAAGGAAGGGAAGAGACAAGGAAGGATGGAACCAAAGAGCAAAGGAAGCGAGGAAAGAAACAGGTAGAGGAGGAAGAAAGAAGAAGGGAAAGAAAAAGAGGGAAGGAAGGAAAGAGGGAGGGAGGGAAGGAAGGAAAGAAAGAAAGAAAGAAGAAGAGGTAGGGAAGGAAGAAGAGAAAGAAAGAGAGAAAGGGAGGGAAGGTTGGCCACAGCAACACGTGGCAGGTACAGCTAATATATCCATCTATCCATCCATCCATCCATCCATCCATCCATCCATCCATCCATCCATCATCTATCTATCTCATTTGGGACAGAAGTCTGTGCATTAATTGCTTTTAGGACAGAAACAGCTTCGGGACAGGGATGAATGCACCCCAGGCCTCAGTTTGCCCAGCCCTGTTAGAAAGCATGCAGTTATGGAAGTACAATTCCACTTCAGACAGCTACCATACCTGCATCCTATGGAATATCAGGGTTGATTGAAAAGTAATGCCTCCAGCTTCACAACTCCTCGACAGATGGTAGTACTGGTATATGACAGGTAATGGCTTGTTCAGTAGACTCTCCTCTACAGTTCCATTTTGGTGGGAAGCCTTAGCATTGAACGGTTGTGTTGCTTTAATAATAATAATAATAATAATAATAATAATAATAATAATAATAATAATACATTTTATTTATACCCTGCCACCATCTCCCTGATGGGGCCAAGCCCAGACAACATATTACAGCAGTGGTTCTCAACCTTCCTAATGCCGTGACCCCTTAATACAGTTTCTCATGTTGTGGTGACCCCCAACCATAACCATAACATCGCCATGTAAATAATGATCTGCAGGATGTATTTTCATTCACTGGAGCAAATTTGGCACAAATACCCGGTATGCCCAAATTTGAATACTGGTGGGATTGGCGGGGGGATTGATTTTGTCATTTGGGAGTTGTAGTTGCTGGGATTTATAGTTAACATGTAAACAAAGAGCATTCCGAACCCTACCAACAATGGAATTGAACCAAAGTTGGCACACAGAACTCCCACGGCCAACAGAAAATACTGGAAGGGTTTGGTAGGCATTGACCTTGAGTTTGGGAGTTGTAGTTCACCTACATCCAGAGAGCACTGTGGACTCAAACAATGATGGATCTGGACCAAACTTGGCATGGATACTCAATATGCCCAAATGTGAACACTGATGGGGTTTGGGGAAAATAGACTTTGACATTTGGGAGTTGTAGATACTGGGATTTATAGTTCACCTACAATCAAGGAGCGTTCTGAACCCCACCAATGATAGAATTGGGCCAAACTTTCCACACAGAACCCCCATGACCAACAAAAAATACTGTGTTTCCTGATGGTCTTTGGCGACCCCTCTGACACCCCTTCGTGACCCCCAGGTTGAGAAACAGTGTATTACAGCAATAAAATCAAAACATAAACAACAAACAATGACAACATCATCAAAATACATTAATAATAAGAAGAAAAACAGTCTTAAAATAACATTCTAATAAACACAATCACGATAACAATAACAATGGGTGGGCCACATGTACAGGATAAAACAGTTTAAAAATTGTGAGATTAAAAAAGGAGCAAGACATTTATGAGGTTGAACTTCCCATTTGAGGGGCCTGAACTCCAGTAACAGAAAAGCATTGAGGGGTGCAAAGTGTCACCAAAGGCGCAGCGGAAGATCCGGGTTTTAAGGTCCTTTTAAAATGTTGTTAAAGTACCACATAGCCCGAAAAACCTACAACAACCCAGTGATTCTGGCCATGAAAGCCTTCAACAATACATCACTCTCCCACTGGTTGACAACATCTTTTTGGAGTTCCAACATGTGGTAAGCATGAAAATATTATGGGGTGGAGGAGTGAGCTGAACTGTACTGTTTTGCTGTGTCTTCTCTCAATACAGATGTAAATATCATGGACTGTATTCATGCACACACACTTCCGTCACCACCCGAGGTTGTGGCCATATGTATTTTGTTGACTTCACAACCAGTATCCTTATCCAACATTGCAACAGTGAGCAGCACCCACTCTTTGGAGGGCTCGATTTGCCCCCAAACTAGATTGGAGTTACTAGTTGTGCCTGTTTGTGTGAGCGAGTGTGTTGTTGGAGATGTAAGATCTGGCGAAACTGGGCACCAGGGAGGGTCTGATGGGGGTCTTTGGTGGGTGGGGGGCAGCTAGGTCCAAGCTTGGCCGCGCTCCCTTGACCCCGCCGTCCTACCTGCCCTGTTCCAGGTAAAGGCCCCGAGACCCTTTTTGCCGGACAGAAGCTCAATGACAACGAGTGGCACACGGTTCGCGTGGTGCGGCGGGGGAAGAACCTGCAGCTCTCGGTGGACAACGTCACCGTGGAAGGTAAGCCGAGGAGGAGACCCTGGTCACGTGCGAGGAGAGGACAGACCCCTCCCCACAACACATCACTGAGCATTTATTGATCGTATCAGAAGCAAATTGAGAATATAATATAAATAATAGTTATAATGTAAATAAAAACACATTAATTATATTATAGCATTATGCCAAGTTTCATAATGCTATAATATAATTAAGAATCATGGAAGAGACCTTGTGGGCCATCCAGTCCAACCCCATTCTGCCAAGAAGCAGGAAAATCACATTCAAAGCACTCCCAACAGATGGCCAACCAGCCTCTGTTGGGAATGCTTCTCCTGCTGGACCTGCTCCTCAAGACCATGTGAGCCTCCACCATATAGAGTTGGAAGAGACGTCATGGGCCATCCAGTCCAAACCCATTCTGCCAGGAAGCAGGAAAATCACATTCAAAGCACCCCCGACAGATGGCCATCTAGCTTCTGTTTCAAAGCCTCCACCACATAGAATCATAGAGTTGGAAGAGACCTCATGGGCCATCCAGTCCAACCCCATTCTGACGAAGCAGGGAAATCACATTTAAAGCACCCCTGACAGATGGCCATCCAGCCTCTGTTTCAAACCCTCCACCACATAGAATCCTAGAGTTGGAAGAGACCTCGTGGGCCATCCAGTCCAACCCCATTCTGCCAAGAAGCAGGAAAATCACATTCGAAGCAACCCTGACAGATGGCCATCCAGCCTCTGTTTCAGCCACCACATAGAATCCTAGAGTTGGAAGAGACCTCATGGGCCATCCAGTCCAACCCCATTCT